GGACCTCGGGTTTCAACAGTGTCAAAACCCTCCCCATCTTCCTTGACTGCAGCGCAAACTGGTTGTCTGAGCAGCATTAAACTCTGATGTACATATTTTAGTTTTACAGTTTGGGCATCATTTTAGTCAAAATGTGTTGGTTCTCAGTGGGGCATTTGGGAACTTGCCATGCACTGTATTTATTCTCCCAATTCTATATTATCCTGTGCAGTGCTGTAGCTGCCAAAACCACACGCTCATGTTGGCATGAAACAATTGTCCTGGTTTATATAGAACAGGCTTGGCAATAGTCTATCTCAATGAACAGTCACAGTGCTGAAAGATTCAGAGTTGTCTTTTCCTCTCCAAGCAACAGACTAAATTTCTTTCAGCTGGATTCATGGTTTTAAAAAATAACAGGAGTAGAAAGCAAGTATGGAGAGCAGGGTGTATACAAAGTACCTGTAAGGTGGGGAAGGAAGTGAGAATGAGATGCAGAAAAAAAAGACTATTTAAGACACAAGCTAGTAATTTGGTTTCTAAACCCATGTGAAATTATAAGTAATGTTTACTGTTGCCAGTTGGTGAACACAGAGATGTGTGGTTTTTTACTTGCATGCAAAGCTATTGGTTGCGGGTGAAGTACTTAGACAAAAACATTCAATCGCTGGTGTGGGTATTCCACCAAAAATAAACCCAAACAAACACTGACGTATTATAAAAGCACTTTTTTCTGTGGAGACAAACGTTCAGTTGCTGCTATTAGTGAACTCTAGAACTGTTAAAGCCTCCTGTTTAACTTGCCTGAAATAATAATACTTTCTTCTAGAAAGTAACAGAAATATCTCTGAAACTTAAGAACCAGTGTTTATATACTTTCATGAAAAGGTAGTATATGCTGTAAACTTACAGGGATATTGATTGATAACTATTACTTGCCAAGGTCTTGTGAACCCAAAATGCTGTATAGACAAGAGCCAAAGGTGAAGGATAGGAAACTTCTCTTAAACTTAAAAAAATGTTAACTGATAGTGGACTTAAACATTAGTCAAAGAAAAATCATTTTGCAGCAATTAGCAAAGGTTAGTAAAGGCTTATTTTTCCTTTTTCCAGGCAGCTTCACAAAGAGATTTTCTAAATTGTACTCCATTATGAAAGTAACTGCTACTTTGTTATCAGAACGGTGATAGAGATTTTTATTCCAGAAGGCCAGACGCTATCACTACTTGAAATTCTCCAAATTGTTTCCACTGTGAGCAAATTCAGTCTTGATGCAAGTCACATCTGCTTAAAAGTGAATAGCTGTTGCTTCTACTTTATACCAGCATCAAATTTCACCTACAATCTCAAATTTTAAAAATCAGCTTAAATCCCAGGATTTGGATAGTTTTGCCTAAGTGACTTTAAATCCAGAAGTACCTAATAGGAAATACTGAAATAAAAGCATTCAGCTTTAGTGGTTTCTGGTGGAAACAGAGACGTTTCCTTTCAGATATGAATGTCTTGTGAACTAAAAAGAAAAAAAAAAAAAAGGTCTATTTAAGTTTTTCCACATATGGACAAAAAGGTAGCAATCACACCTAAATGCAGTTTCTCATCTGGCTAGCAAGGATGGGTGGTGAGTGGAGAGAAGAGTGGGGGGATAGGCTGCCTGCATGAATTGCAGGTTTAGCTGTCTGTGATAGATTAAGGATTAATTGCATGTTTAGCAATGCAGCTGTGGCTGCACAGCACAGGGGTGTCAGTCACACCACTGCTCCCGTTGGTTCCCAGTCCTTCAGAGCACAGGCTGTTTCAGCCATTCCATCGCTCTTGGCCGGCACTGATGGATTAATGGGAGGAAATGTTTATAGAAAGGTTCAGGTTTCCTAAGTGAGTGGAATGAAACCCCCCTCAGCAATGATCAGTGAGCTCATGTCATGGAGCAGTTTGAAGCAGCCTGACTTGCAGGAAAGCAAAGGCCTTTTCAAAAAGGAAACTTGACAAGTGAGCGATTCTGGAAAACACCTAGCGGTGTTTTCAAATAAAAGATGTGGCTTTTCTAGAGAGGCAGCATGAATGGGGCTAGCTCTGAAAAGAACTTTAAATCAGCAGTTCATACATTGTAAAGGTAAAAGGTTATGTTTGAGAGCACAGTGTCCAAATAAAATAGTGCCCTGAGAGAAAGTGCAACTATCGCACCCTGTGCTCACTAAATGAAACAATATTGCAGTGCAACCACAGCTACCATGACGGCATCCAGCTAAGGCATCTTAGCTCTCTGTTCTGTAACTTAAACTATGGCTATACTAAAATTTAAGGTAAAGGAAGGGTGAGGAACCCCATAAATAGGCTTAAATCATTGCAAGAGGAAAGCTGGAAACCATCATCATTTCACAGGTGTAAAATTCTGTTTGCCGGGGCAATTTCCATGATTGTAGCAACACAGCTTGAGATCTAAACATTCATTTCAATTTAAAAAATGAAATAAAATAGACCATTCCATTGAAGCTATCAGCTTTCAGATGACTGTGATAAGAAAGAATGTAGGCTTTGGGCTAGCTATTAAGATTAAAGCAAAATTCACCTGAACAAAACCGGAGATAGCAAAGGTGCTGGGAGAGAAAAAAGCCAGTTCAAAACACTGCCCTTTGAAAGCTATTGAAAAGGACCTAGTCCTTAGTGTTTCCCTAAAACACTCCACCCATCAAAGTGAGGATTTAATTTACAGCACTTATAGCACCCTCCAGTTCTCAATCTCAAAGTCCCTTTGGAATGGGAAGAGAGCATTATCCTTATTTTCTAGATAAGGAAACTGGTTTATCAGCTTGCCCTCAGTGAGAGGCAGAGCCTGGAAGAAAACTTGGCTAGGATGCAAGTACCTCAAGTGAGGGCAAACATTTGAAATGGTCTCAAAATCTGATTTTCTATTGTGAGGGGCCAGTACTCAGAAAGGCCAGTTTCAAGTCACAGCTGAGTTTCTGGTCAGTATATTCACAGTGTAGTCACCCGAAAGTCTCTTGCATGTCCCACAAGAAAGCAGGGGGGAAGATGCCACTCACAGAGCTGCCCCCCCTTCTATAACCTGCCGAGTGTTCAACGACTGAAAGAACTTCATTGGAGCCCTTGTATTAAAAATTATTTATTTAGTGATCTGTACATGGGATGAAGCAGGGCCTCATACAGACCTTCAAAAAAAAAATCAAGTAAAAACATAAATACATATTTTCTTACAAAAATGAGATTTACAAAATATACATACTGCACTTGTCTTACACGTTTGTTTTTTTCTTTTTCTTCCACGTGCACATTATAAAAGACAAAAACCCAAGCCCTGCAAGTCTGAGATCAGGTCTAGTGAACGATTTGGTGGATGGGCCCATTCCTCATATCCAGACTACTGGTATGACCTCAGACAGCAGCAGTCTGCCCCTTAACCTGAACAGGTTTTTTTCTTTCTAAATTTCATTGCAGACACTTTTCCCCCCAAAAAATGAAGAGCAGCTATAGGGTGGAGACTTGCTAAAAAACCAGAATTTCCTATTTTGTCCTTAGGCAAGAATATACACACACACATATACTTATAAAAACAACCCTTCAGTGAATATAAAGGTAAAGTAGTATGCAAAAAATAAAATATGAACAAGTCAACATAAAAATTTCAGAATAGAAAAATCTGTCACATTTCAAAAAGAAAACGATGCATTTCATTAATTTTTGAATGTCTTTCCTTCCAAGATGTGGTCACTGGAAACTTAACCAGCTGCATTATAGCTGAAATGAGAAGGCTCCTCACTTGCAGTACCTGCTTGCTTTTAAACCCCAACCCCAGCCCCCTCCTGCACCACGAGTCATTGCCATGCAGTTCAGGGAACCTGAGGAGCAGGCAAAGGGTCCGTCGTGAGCCAAAAGGATTCCTCCTGTCCCCAGAAGCCGGCTGTGTGTTGACTTTACCTGCAGTAAGCTCACTGCAAAGCAGGAGAGAAAGCAGGTTTACGGGAAGGAAAGAAAAGTATCGTATCTTTACGTTACATGTTTTAATGGCTCTTGTTTTGGCAGGTGCTCTCGGTTACTCTCTTCTTGCCCTCTAAGTCTTGTGTTTCCTTCAGCTTAGAAAAGCGACCCATATTGAAACATCCTGCCTTCTCCTCTTTTCATAAAAGGAATGTTTATTTCTGCGAGCTCCTCGCATCCAAGGGTGAACCTCAACGACTTCTTTTTGTTAGTTTGCTCATAAAAACCGATCCCATGCTTATGCCTTTCTACATAGAAAACACTTTTGTTTCCCCCTTTGTCTCCTAGAACAAAGGCAAGGGGGAAAAGCCTTCTGCTGAAAAGCAACAAGTCATTTCTTTTCAGGGTGTGGAATAGCAACCCCCTCCTTCCCCACAGCAGCAAGAACAACAGACCGAGGGCCGCATTTTCACTTTAAAACAATTAAAACAGGCATTACTGAGGTAAAAAGGAACTTGTGAGTTGACAGAACAGAGGCATCTCACCAGCACACGATGCGGGCTGTAGCTGGTTGTGCAGTACTCACGTGGTTGCTCTGCCGAGCTGGAAGGAGCAGGCGGCAAGCTCAGGCTCGGGGTTGCCCTGCCTGCGCTGCAGTTTGACCCCAGCAATTCAGAGAGGGTTTGGCTACTTCTCAGCAGGGGCAGCTCAACAGATCTGGCTTCCCCTCCCTCTCGACCAAAGCAAGACAGGATGTTTTCAGTTGGGTTGGGTTTTTTTCCTGCCCAGGGGTAGCAGGAGAGAGAGGTAAGGGGACTTCTTGCGGTGAAGGACTCTTCCATCCCACCAGTGGCTTCTTTTTCTGTGCTCTTCTACTTAGCTGGGCATAAGCTCCACTCGACACAGTCCATCTGACCCTTTACGCAAAGATTTGTTTTTGGTTTTTTTCTTCCCCAAACCCTCTGGGAGGAAGAAAAAGTTTGGAAAAGCCTCCCTTCCTCCCTCTTCAGGGAGCCATTGCCTTCCTCTTCTGCCTGTACCCTTCTCTGCATGCGTGCGTGTGTGTGCCAGAGGGGGCAGGGGGGGTCTCATACTGCCGTCTCGCCTTTGCTGCCGGTGCTGAGTCTGTGGTAGAAGCGTCGCCAGGACTGAAGCGTTTTGCCAGACCAGATCCAGAAGCCAGTCGTGATCCCAACAATCATGGTCATGAGGTACTTGATCATGAAGACTGTGAAGTCTGGGCTCATAGGGGCAAAGTGGCTGGGACAGGGCACGGCATAGGTTTTGCAGGTCTGGAGGAGCCACGTCTTCTCCCAGGTACCACGGAAGGCCTGCTCGTAGAAGTAACATGCCAGGACAATGGTGGCAGGCACCGTGTAGAGGACACTGAAGACACCGATGCGCACCATCAGCTTCTCCAGTTTCTCCGTCTTGGTGCCATCGTGCTTCATGATGGTGCGGATGCGAAACAAGGACACAAAGCCAGCAAGTAAGAAGGAAGTGCCAATGAAGAGGTACACAAACAAGGGCGCCAGCACAAAGCCCCTCAGCGAGTCCACGCTGTAGATACCTACGTAACACACCCCACTGAGTATGTCCCCATCCACCTGCCCCATGGCCAAGATGGTGATAGTTTTGACAGCAGGCACAGCCCAGGCAGCCAGGTGGAAATACTGGGAGTTGGCCTCGATGGCCTCGTGGCCCCACTTCATGCCAGCAGCCAGGAACCAGGTGAGGGACAGGATGACCCACCAGATGGAGCTGGCCATGCCGAAGAAGTAGAGGATCATGAAGAGGATGGTGCAGCCTTCTTTCTTGGTGCCTTGGGCCACGGTGCGGTAGCCGTCCTCAGAGAAGCGCTCCAGACACACCACCCGCTCCTCCAGCAAGAAACCTGCCGCATAGGCCACTGCCACCATGAAGTAGCAGCCTGAGAGGAAGATGATGGGCCGCTCTGGGTAGCTGAAACGGCGCATGTCCACCAGGTAGGTGAGCACAGTGAAGAGGGTGGAGGCGCAGCAGAGCACAGACCACACGCCCACCCACAGCCGGGCAAATCGCACCTCTGCCTCCTTGAAGTACATGAGCCCGTTGGGCCGGGCTGGCTCACAGGGGGCCCCGCAGTCCCGCTCCCCCAGGAACCGGTAGCCCAAGTAAGGG